CACTCCAAACTGCCCCCTTCCCCCCCTGTCCTGATCACCTCCCACTGACCCCCACTGATGGCCTGCTTGCCCCCAACTGGCCTCCTTGCTGGTCTGCTTACCCTCAACGGCCCCGCCCCCCATCACCCTGAGCACCCACAACTGCCCTCACCTCTTGACCTCTAACCACCTCTACCTTGGCCCTGCCACCATGGCTTTGTCCAGAAGAACATTTGGAAGGTTTCCTGGAAGGTTTCCCAGTCTAATTACCATATTACTCTTTTATTAGTATAGATATATTTGTCTGCAAATATTGTTATGATTGCAGATATGAGTAAGACCAGGTCAAATTTTATAGAATGGGCCTTTTATTACAGATGGTTTGCCATGTATGCATTTTTTCTAAAGAATTAAAATTACTTTAAAAAATGTTTCAGGAACACTTTGAGAAATTTACAGTATCTGCTTTTCTTCCAAGAAAGTTGTCACTTTTATGCCAGAGTGAGAATTATTTGTATGCTTTGTATGTCAGCATTGGGCCACTGGGCCGGCGGGGCACTTAGCTTGACTTGAGAGTAATTATCTTGCTCACTGGCTAGGAGAGAGGGTGTGAGGCAGAGGAGATAAAATACTCGGTTCTGGGTTCTTCATAGATTGCTGACTTTCTGGATTGATTGTGCAAGCCCCTCCTTTTATTGATGTCCACCTTCTATTGACAGACATCTACCCTGGGAGAGAAATGAGATGAAACTCTCTTTTCATTGTAAAAAGTATTTGAATTCCTAAGGTGTGATAAGGCCACCCAGCCATCCACAGTCAAGGTACACATTTTCATGGAGGATATTCCCACTCTTGAATAAATTAAAACAATTTATTTCTTTTAATTTAAACTTTCTTCTATAACTGTTTTCTTGTTACTTAAAAGCTAGTTTTTTGAAACTACTTCCAAAGCTTTTCAAGCTGTATATGTCCTTGGAATGAATTTATAAATAAGAATTCAGCCCTGCTGGTGTGACTCAGTGGTTTAGCATCAACCTATGAACCAGGAAGTCACAGTTTGATTCCAGGTCAGGCCACATGCCCAGGTTGTGGGCTTGATACCCAGTACAGGGGCATGTAGGAGGCAGCCAATCAATGATTCTCTCTCATCATTGATGTTTCTATCTCTCTCCCCCACCCTTCCTCTCTGAATCAGTAAGAAAAAAATATATTTTTAAAAAAGAGTTGCTTCTGAGTTTCTGGTTTGTATAAT